GTTGGAAAGACATCAATTCTCGAACAAGGTAGTACACCTACCAAAGCCAACCTTAAAACAAAATTAAGGCATTTAAACACCAAAGCATCGGAAACCACCAAACAGAAGAAATATGAAAATCCAAAACACTCCACCGATTGCTTCTTCAACGATACATGACCCAATATTGTTAAGGGAAAGCTGTCGAAAAAAATCGCGGCATGAAGAATTAATCGTAAAACGAAGTGTAAGAACCCAGAGCTGATGGACAAGAAGGACCTGTCGAAACCACACCGAACCAACCCAGCATGAATCGAAACCCAAAACAACTATGAACCCTGTCCAAACAAGAGGCGAACCCAAACACAAGATTACCCGGATAAATCAATAAAAGAGCCGCGAGAGCAACGATATAGAAACTCCTCTGCACAAACCAAAAATTGGGCCCCCGAAGCCAAACATAACCTAGGGAAACCCAAAACTTTTCCACCGAGAAAATCAGGGTACAGGACACAACCCAACCACTTGATAAGCCAGACAGCTATGCCGAGCATCCATCACGACCACCTCCACCGGAATCGAAGGCAACTTCCAGATCTGAGAACCCAATTGCTAAAGAAGAAACCCAAACAAATTCCCCTCATATAGAACACAGACACGATCAAAACCAAGCTAAGGAAGAGATTTTCATTATTTGACCAAGCACCACCGAGACCCTTAACCACCAAACCTCAACACCTAAAAGCCCAAACCGACTACCACCACCAACCGCAAGACCTTCCAACTCCGGTCTTCATAAACCCCTCGCCGAGCCTCTAAGAGACAAACCCATCCAACGGAAAACTCCACGAACCAGAGCCAACGAGACTACAAAGCCCCCATCACGGATAAAGGAGCCTTTGATCTATGCAACACCGACCGAAAGAGAAACAACAAAACTATAATCAAAAGAAAGAGAACGGGGAGGAGATCGCTTTGCCGGTGGCGGTGAGATAAACCGACCACCGGAGAGGTAGATCGGAGCAAGGTTTAGTGAAAGGCGTAGGTGGCGAGGAAAGAGGAGCGATTGTCCAGCTCTCTTCTGTTTCTTTCTCACGCTTTTTTCACTCTTTTCTTTTATATTTTTTTTCATCTCTCACCTATCACC